TATTAGTAAATTGATGTTACCCACTGAAGAGTGGACGGAGAGGTATATATATATATATATATATATATATATATATATATATATATATATATATTTCTGAGATGAGGTATTATGTACACTATTTACATTGTTCGACTATCGTCCGCATCTTTTGTTGTTAACAGGAGATAACTAATAACTGACATCCATTAGACATGACACGGGAACTAGAATAATCTACCCCAGTGAGCTAAATAAAGGGTTCAGTTCGATATTCCAAGCACCTGAACGGCCGAAACGTTGTAATAAATATGGCAACAAAGATAAGGACGATAGAGGATATAAATAATATAATATATATATATATATATATATATATATATATATATATATTATATATATTTAAAACAGACCACTTTAAGGTACCATTAAAATAATTTATTTCACCAAAATCCTTTTTAAAGGACTCGGATCATCAGGTAACAATTCCAAATAACGAAATGAAAGGAAAATGGGATTAGAAATTGATGGGTTGTGTAATTTTGTAATTTTAACAGTGGGGGGTGAGTTGTAGTTAAAGAGACAAGGTAGAGTATAGGGAGGGGTTAATTTCATATCTCTCAAGCATGCTTTTATATTGGGGTAGGAGTATTGACCGAACCTTGACCTATTTAGATGGTTAACTTAACGGAAAATGATATATTGCAATGGGAGGAAAGTGGGGAGAAAAGAAAAGGAAAAATGGAAAAGAGAGAGGAGACAGACGACAGTAATACAGTTATATCCAAATGAGTGTTACGGCAAAGAGAGAGGGGAGAGGGAAGTGAATCGAAGAGGCTGTAATTTTGTTTAATAAAATTATAAAAGATAGATTTCAATGCTTGATAGAAAATTAGATGTCTAAAAAAAATTATGAATGTTATCAATTTAAACATTTAATTTTTTAAGTAAGTAGTTTAGAGACTTAATATATCTACATATATCTATTTATCAATCTATTTATCTATCTATCTATCTAACTATCTATCTATATACATATATACATATAGGTATACTACATACATATACACACCATATATACATATACATATATATATATATATATATATATATATATATATATTATATATATATATATATATATATATATATATATATATACATATATATATATATATATATATATATATATATATATATATATATATATATATATATATATATATATATATATATATATATATATATATATATATATATATATATATATATATATATATATATATATTCTAAAGATGTCAATATCCATCAGATGACGAAACGCGTCGGCTACTCTTCTTTTTTTCATTTATTCATATTTAAGAAGAAATTGCTGACATATGTTAATATGGGAATTTTGTCCTCGGCCCCAAAGAATATAAAAGTATTTTGATACAATATATATATATATATATATATATATATATATATATATATATATATATATATATGTTGTGTCGTTGTGTCTTGTAACTTCGTTTCCTCTTCGCCACCACGGCCCGATGTCCTAATGATATGATGCGGTATCGTATCGTAACGGTCCTCGTTCGATGGTCAGAGTCGTTAAAGGATGCGCACTGCTGCTCAATCACAAAAAGTATGTGTGTGTGTGTGCTGAGGATTCTAGGACTAGACATGATGAATTATTATGATCATATATATATATATATATATATATATATGATTCTCCCCACCTAAGCTAAGCGATAATGCCACTAAGACACAAATGAGTCGAAGAGAACGAGAAGACTTTAGTGGAGATAAATGACGATAAATGAAAATTATTCGTTCGGATACAACATGGTGGCGAGGAAGGAAGAAATTAAGAGAGTTTCATAGGCGAGAAAAGAAACGTCCGGTACAATGTAGTTCTCTTAACTGTAAAAAGATTAAAACTAGTTACCAAGGAAGATATCTCAGAACAACTGTCATGAAAATATTTATAGAAAAGGCAGAGGGAAGCCAGATGATTGCGTTTTGTTATATCAGGACTGATAACATTACAGACACTTCTTTGGGTTTTGTCGAGAATATATACATAAAAAGAGAAATGTGTCCATTCACACGTTTTTGGTTTTTTAAAGAATATTACGAAATGAAAATCTTGACGTAAGTACAATCACATGCAAACTTGAAAACGAAACAAATCATTTTCAAACGCACAGCAAGAGAGACAGGCAGACAGACAGAGAGAGAAAGGCAGAGAGAGACTTTAAGACTGAGACTACAGGAGAAGGTTTGATTGATTGACGGCTTATCAGCGCCTTTTGCAGCTTATTTAAAGCCAGAAAAAATGTTTAGATTGTAAGAATTTAGTGATACAAGTCTTACTAATTAACCCATAGCTGGGAAAGGAGGGACGGATTTATGTCTTTCTTATTGGGCACTTGCTTGCGCGTAAATGAATATAACGAACCTAAACGGAATTAGAACTCTGCTCAATTCCGAGTCATTATCCATTATACCACCCGCACATCCAAGTTTACAGCACTTGGTATTCCCAAGCGGTCACCCATCTAGGTCCTGACTAAGCTCGATGTTGCTTAACTTCAATGATCATACAGGAACCGGTGTTTCAACCTGATGTGAAGACTACGGAAGAATGATAATCTAGTCTAGTGAATCATTGTGTAAGACCAAATTATTTTGATCGTTGTATGAGACTAATGTACAGTAAATATATAATAGCAAATAAATAATTAATATTCTATAAAATAAATTTAATATACATTTAAATATAAATTTAGTCCTCTCAGACTTCCCTATAGAAGAGGAGGGAAAATGCGACAGTGAAATCCGAATGTGCAGTGGAATAGGCAAAGATGCCTTCCAAAAGCCAATCAAAGTATTAAGAAACAGGAAAAATTTGCTAGAAACAAAGAGGGGAGTGTTAACCTGCTATGTATCATCAGTCATCCTACATGGTAGTTCAATGATAGACACTTGAAGCAACAGAACTATGGTCCTACAGAAGGATGTTGAGAATAACATAGACTGAACATGTAAATAACGACATGTGAATCACGAGAAAATTTTAATTAACACAAAAAGGATACTTATACATAGAATCAGAAATAGATAGGTGGAATTTCTAGGACACATAATGAGGGAAGGGGGCTTGGAGAATTTAACACTCACAGGGTATAATGAAGGCAAGAAGAACAGAGGAAACAAATTGTATAACCATGACTAGGAATTATTGCAGAAAGACAAACCTTCCTAAGAGCTACAAAGGGTAAAAGTTGTGGAGAGCCATGATCACCCGCTTCCTTCACATAGAAGAAGAAAATGTAAACACACACACACACTTAAAAACCAATGCTAAAAAGACCAAAACCATTATTTCAATGTCCCGCAATCTAGCCTGCTTCCAGAGATGTATTTGTTTTCCAAGTTAAAGAGGTCGCTTCTAAATATTCCTATAATTCTGTACATTGACGCAGCGATTCTGTTTCTGAACGGTCTTCAAGGTTTTCATTATTTTACAAACAGACGCACAGAATAGGACTGATCTCGAGGCTTAATTGATTACTTTGTTGTTTCCTTAATCACCTGTCTTAGATTTAAGCAAAGAAGCAACCGAAAATTATTTCATGCTCCATTTGCCAAAGACCTGAGTCTTAACTAAAAACCTACGATGTCATATGCCAAACACATGCACACATACTTAGGTGTACATACAACAAAATACGCTCACCAAATTACATGAGGATAAACAAAGAAACAAGATGGAGTGAAAATACACACAGTTCTTCCTGTAAAAAAATATATGTGCAACATTGCATGAAATAATATATATATATATATATATATATGTGTGTGTGTGTGTGTGTGTGTGTGTGTGTGTGTGTGTGTGTGAAAAGTGTATATAAATATAAATAAATATATATATATGTATAATTATTTATATATTATATGCGCGGTACTTATTAGAAAGCGCTCAATATCAGAGATAGAGCTAACATATTTGTTGGATAGATGTGAGTTTGACCCTGGGTTTCACGCTTTAGCGATCGTCAGACAATAGAGTTTGTCTGACGATCGCTAAAGCGTGAAACCCAGGGTCACAAAACTCACATCTATTTAACCCATATATACATATATATATATATATATATATATATATATATATATATATGCTAAATGTGAAATCTGCGTCAAAGAACGCTAATGAAGTAAAAGACAGCTCAATATAAAATGTAGAAACTATTACACGATACAGAGACGAAATGTAATAACATTTAATAACTTTGTTTGTAATTTTCATTAACGATCTTCCTGATGCCATCAGCTCTCTTCGTATCTATGCTGATGACACAACCATAAACTTCTGTCTCGATGGTAAGTCTAATCAGTTTGATAAAGTCAATTTGGCGGTTGATTTCAAAAACGACCTTCAGTCTGTTGTTAAGTGGGATAGCTTGCTAATTTAAACACCTCGAAAACTAAACCGCCCTTTATTATTCATCTGAGAGACCCCTTTCTGCCTTCCAACAACATGGCTGATACTAACTTCAAGTAGACTAACTCGTGGCGTCTTCTCGGGCTAACATTCTTGGCTGACATGAAGTGGAAAGACTCGAATCCATTGCTAGGTCAGCTGCTAAGAAAGTTGCTTCACTGTATCATGCTAGACTATTTTTCACTCCAGAATTTATCTTACATATCTATAAGTTTACCATTCGTACATGCTTAGAATATTGCTGCCATATATGGTCCGTTGCTCCTGCTATATATCGATAGATTATTGATAAAATCCAAAGAAAAATCAGCAGTATTACTTGTCATGATCTTTTGTCGCGGTTTCAGTCAATTTCCCACCGTCGTAAAGTTGCACCCCTCCTTCCCGTGCATTTTGTATAGATATTTTCGTCGTAATTTTTCGGATGATATCTTCCCTATAGTAACTAGATTTTATAAATTTAAGCGCAGTACTAGATCGGTAACGAGATTTCATGAATTTACGGTTGACTTGGCTAGATATAACCATAAGTTCTATACTAAGAGATTCTTTTATCGCACTTCTCGCTTGTAGAACTCTTTTTCTGAATCCAGGATTTCCAGTCCAATTTAATCTTCAAAAGTTTAAATTCAATGTCAATTGCTATCTACTGTCGACTGATTACTCTTCTTTCGTACTCGTCCCTTAGGAATGTTTCTGTTTTCTAATTCTTCAACACCCAATAACTACTTGCGTCTTAGTGGCTTTACTCCCTTACTTGGGGTGAAATCGATAAAAAATTGTTCAGACATTTAACCCATCATACAGGTGTACGTGTTTGAAGAGTTCGTATTATATATATATATATATATATATATATATATATATATATATATATATAAAGTAAGAAATCTGTTGGCATATGATCCAAGTGATCCTAGTAATATAAAATATTAAAACTGATTCACAAAAAATAGCTCAATGTATTTATTATAACAGACCAAATAAATAGTAGTACACTACAAAATCCCAAATTATCTCATACACCTGGGTTGAATAAGAATGACGAAATTTTCGTCGATTGAAATAGATCTATCCTCTATATGAGGTAATTTGGGATTTTGATGTAAATAATATATATATATATATATATATATATATATATATATATATATATAAAATATGTTTTTTGATTTAAAAATCTAACCATGTTTCAAAATGGAAGCTAAAAGCCCCGAATTTAATTTTGTAATTAAATTAAAGACACTAGTTCCATTTCATCCTCAAGCGAATTTTGGAGTAACTTTTAAAATTACTGGGTTTTAAAGACACAGCTAAAATCATCCTCTATTCCTTATTTTCATCAACGACCTTCCTGACGCCATAGATTCCCAAGTTGGCATCTACGCGGATGACACTACAATTTACTCCTGCCTCAAAAACAAATCTAGTGTCGCTGACAAAACTAACCTGGCCGTGCGTCTTGAAATGGACCTCCAATCGGTTGTAAACTGAGGCAAGAACTGGCTGGTCAACTTTAACGCCTCGAAAACTAAACTACTCTCTATTAATCACCATAGAGATCCTTCCCTGCCCGCCCCCCATTAGAATGTCTGATAGTCAACTTCTTGAGAGCAACTCTCTGCGTCTGCTCGGTCTCACGTTGACTGCTGACCTAAGATGGAACAAATATATTGAGTCAATTGCTTCGTCCACCGCGAGGAAAGTTGGCTCTCTGTGCCGCCTCAGGAAATTTTTCTCCTCGGAATCGATACTTCAAATATACAAATCAACCATTCGCCCTTGCATGGAGTATTGCTGCCATATATGGTCTGGGGCACCTTCTGTTTACCTCGGAGTTCTTGACAAGATCCAGAGGCGGATATGCAATATAATTGGCCCTGATCTGGCATCTCGTCTACAGTCACTCTCTCGCAGACGCGCCATCGCCTCTCTCTGTGTTTTCTACAAATACTTTCTTGGTAATTGCTCCGCTGAGCTGCTTTCACTGGTCTCCAGACTCCGTGAATTCAAGCGCCCTACGAGGCTGGCATCCCGCTCTCACCCTTACACTGTAGAAACTTTTAAATGTAGCCGTCTCTTCTACTCCAATAGCTTCATACCTCGCACCTCTCACCTGTGGAACACCCTTCCCAATTACTGTTTCCCTGATAGCTATAATCTCCAACTATTCAAATGTAATGTCAATCGACGTCTCCAGTTACCTTGATCTATCCACTATCCCTCTCCCCATCCTTTCTTCTATCACTCCTATCTGCTCTCGCTCCAAATCTTCTGCAACCCCCTGCTTCCTAGTGGCTTTCGTCTTGTTCGGGGCGGGCGTAATACATATATATATATATATATATATATATATATATATATATATATATATATATATATATATATATATATATATATATATATATATATATATATTTAAGTTGGCACATTTTATGGATTTGGCAATTCAGTATCTTTGGCTATAATGTAATGTTTCAGATTCCATAACATATAGTTGTTCTTTTTTTTAACTTTAATGCAATTCCCTGTCTAGGTGGCCTTGTTGTTTTCTTTCCGTGCTCGCCATCAACACAGTGTCATCTGCTTATCTTATATTGTCAATAATAAATCCTGGTCGTGTATCGCCATAGATGTTTTAAGTGGAAGACACAACTTTCTCTTTCGCCCCATTCTGAAGATGTCAACCTCAAGCAGGTACAGAAGTTTAAATATATAGGAATTGTTTAAGAGAGGATGAAAAATGTCACACCGAATCCGAACCCGCATTGGACTAGCGAAAGATGCCTTCCAAAACATAAGCAAAGTGCATAGAAACGGGAAAAATCTTTTAGAAAGAAATGAGAAAAGCTGGATTGTTATGTGCTGTCTGTCCTCTTATATGGCAGTAAATGTTTGACCATCCCTCCACAGTTGAGTAGAAAACGTGAAGAAAACTGAAATGTAATCCTAGAGAAAGATGCAGAAATTTCCACAGGCAAAACGAGTTAGCATCAATAAAATACCTACAAATAACCACATGCATAGAATCGGGAAGAGACAGCAGAATTACATGAACATATAATTAGGAGGAAGAGCTTGGAAAACTTGATCCTCACATGGCATATCAAGAGATATGAGGGAA